GGGCCTGGCCCAGGATCACCCAGCGCTGCGCACCACACCGGAGACCACCTCTTCTTGCTCTGATGCCATCTTTCCTGTCTCCCTCATTCCACCCTTCTTCTGAGCACTGACCACACACCACAGCCCTGCACTAGGGACAGACAGGGCCCACTATGCTGCTTCTGGAAAAGAGAAAGGCAAGCCGAAACCGGTGTGGCTCAGTGGATAGAGCGTCGGCCTGCGGACCCAAGAGTCCCGGGTTCGATTCCGGTCAAGGGCATGTACCTGGGTTGCGGGCACATCCCCAGTGGGAGATGTGCAGGAGGCAGCTGATCGATGTTCCTCTCTCATCGATGTTTCTAACTCTCTATCTCTCTTCCTTCCTCTCTGTAAAAAATCAATAAAATATATTAAAAAAAAAAAAGAGAGAGAAAGGCAACACAAGACCAAATGGGTCTGGAGAAGTTGGGAAAACGGGACCGCAGCCAGGGGCCGAGGCAGTGAGGAAGCCCCTGCAAAAAGGCCACTGGGGAGCTGAGAACAACTTTGGGGGCGGGGGCCTGGGATGATGTGGAAGGGGGGTACTCCCCGCAGAAGAGGCAGCCACAGCAAGGGCTCCGAGGACGGATCAGCCTGCAAGTCTGAGGACGAGAAAAGAGGAAGGGCCCCGGGAGTGACGGTGAGCAGCTGGGCAGTCAGGGCCTGTCAGCCAGGTGTGGAGTCTGGGCTTTACTGAATGAGCAACGGCAGTCACTGCAGGGCTACAACAGGGAAGCGATTTCAGAGAGTGGGGACTTGCCACACAGTGTCTGCTGGCAATGATGGCAGAGGCCAGGGGCACAGCCACTGGAGCCCAGGGGTGGGGAGGAGGCTGGTGAGATGGATGGGCTCTGATTGGTTAGGACAGCGGTCGGCAAACTGCGGCCCCTTGAGTGCCGGCGCGCACGTACAGTGCGATTGAAACCTCGTGGCCACACTCAAGGGGCCAAAGAGCCAAATGTGACTCGCGAGCCGCAGTTTGCCGACCACTGGGTTAGGAGGAAAGAGGAAGCTTGGCACCCTCAGAGGAGGGGGGGTGGGGGGTGGGGTTGCAGGCAGCTCTGGGAAGAAGCTCAAGGAAAGGCTGAAACATGGGAGGCCTGAAGAGGGATCCCTGAGCTACATCATCCCCAAACCAGGGACAGTCGCTGAGAAAACAGGATAAAGAGAGACCTGGAAGGCCCACAGGACACCCAGGAGTCCTCTAGGTAAGTCAGAAAGGGCTGCACCGGAGCACGCAAAGGAGCAACGCCCTTAACCGGGAGGACCGGCGAGGGCTGCAAAGTCAGGCTGCGCGAAAGCCACTTTGCTGGGCACCAGGGGAAGCAGCGAGGAGAAAGCAGCACTTGACAAGTGGAGACCGGTCCCAGCAGCGCAGCTGCACCCAGCGGGCCCTGCCCCGAAGAGGGGCCTCTTAGTCCGCCACGCCTGGCATTTCTAACCGGACCGGCTCAGAACCAGTCCGGGAAAACCATGTAAGCAAAGGGGCTGCCCAGTCACCCCAGAGACTCGGACCAGGCTTCCAGGGGCCATAAAGCCCCAACCTCAGGAGGTCAGGCCTCGCAGAGGAAGTGACCGGAGGTGGAGGTGGAGGTGGGGGTGGGGAGGACGGCAGCAGCACCGACAGGCAGCCCGCTCCCCTGGGCTCCGGCACAGGAAGGGGTCTCCTTGGAGAAAGGGAGGTGCTGACACCTACGTGCACATAGCAGGGACCCAACCCCCGACCTCCCTATTGGACGTCTCCGGGCAGGGCTCCGGTCCCGCCGGGCCGTCCGGGGACTCAGCGTTTGCAAGAAGCCGGGCGTGGCTTCCGCTTTCTCAGGGGGCTGGGAGGTCCCGGCAGCAAAGCAGAAGCCGGCGCAGCCCCCGAGCGCGGCCGAGCGCGAAGTCCGGCCCGGAGAGCCAGGCCGAGGGGTGGGGAGGCCCAGGCGCGCGCGGCGGGCACGGCGCCGGACCACCTCCCGGGCGCGGCGCAGGTGTGGGTGCACAGGTGAGCCCGCCCGCCCGCCCGTCCTCCCGCACGCCCGCCCGCCCGCGGCCGCGTGGCTCCGCCCCGGCCCGGCGCCCACCAGTCGGTCGGGGACTTCTCGGCGACCACGCGCGCGTAGGCCTCCTGCAGCGCCGGCCCGTTCCGGCTCAGGTTCGCGGCCATGGCCCGGCTCGTCCCAGCGCCACGGCTTCCGGGCCCGCCCCGCCCCCGCGGCCGGAAGCCCCGCCCATCCCGCCGGAAAGCCCCGCCCAAGCAGGAAGTGGGCGGGGCCGCGCGACTCTCCTAGGGGCGCGGCCCCACGTCCTAACAGCGTCGCGGTGGGGTGAAGATTCCAACATAGGAACTTGGGGGATGCAGGCATTCAGACCAAAGCAACCAGTCAGAAAGGACGGCTGTTTTCAGAGCGTTCACCCCCAGAAATGCCAATGACCAGGAAAGTCGTTTTCCTAAAACCCCAGGATTCCCTCGGTTCCAGCCCCACGTGGCCTCATGACTGCAGAGCTAGAGAAATGGAATCATTGCCCTAAAAAGAAACCTTGTTTATGCTGCGTGGTAAGTGGAATCCAGGAAACAAATACTTCACAGCTTGAGAGATGAGGAAAACCGCATTGAGTCCCTGTGAGGGTTTGAACAGAGGCAGGAGGTGGGCGGGCTGCAGTCCTGGCCGGGGTCTGGCCCACAGGCCTCGTCTTTTAGGGCTGAGCGCAGCCACCACCCAGGACAAGATGGCTCTCAGGAGGGTGCAGGCCCTCCTCCGTTCAGGAGCAGGGCTCTCCAGCCACCTACCCTCCTGCCTTGAGCGTCTCTGGCTTCTCAGGTCTTGCCTGAACCCTCAGCCCAGCTTCCTGCTGTCGAGTGTGGGCTCCCAGGAACCAGCAGAACCCGCACGGAGGAACGGAACACACAGGCAGCGGGGATTTCGAAGTTTCACAACTCTGCTGACATTTTAACCCCAAATTGCCAACAAATCCCTCAGTCCTTCCTGCTTCAGGATGCAGGCCTGCACTGCTGGGCACCTGACGCCGATGCAGAAATGGCCACACCAGGGTGGCAGCCCTGTCCTGAAGAGGGTGGGGAGTGAAGGTCTGGGAGCAGAAGCGAGAGGAAGGGGACAGCTTAAGGAAAATTAAGAAGCTGCTATCTAGGCTGATAGGTTTTGCAGATTCTTTATAGTTTTATGATTTTATTATTAATAAACCTGTCAACAGGGAGAAACCTGGGTGGTAGGGAGGCAAGGCCAGGACTCCTGCCGTCACGGGGTGCTGACTGCCTTCCCTCCACTTTCGGAGGTCCCACATTCATGACTAGATCTAATCCAGGTCCAGCCTTGCTCGGCACTGCTGGGGAGGAAGCGTGTGCTACCGTGACAAGAGGCACAGGAAGGAGGGGCCGGGGGCCGGGGAGACCAGGGGTCCATGCTGATCTTGAGGCTTCCTTGCCTCCCTTTGGGTACCAGACAGACCTCAGGCCAGGAGTTGTGCAGGCACTTGTTTGGCACTTAAGAAAACTATCTCCTGAACTTCACAGACAAAAACCTGCCCCCCCTAAGCATCTGCAGTGAGTGATGTGGACACAGTTTCAGCTCTGAGCTGTGAGGCTGGGGACGTTTGCATCTAGCACTTCATCCCTGGGCAGGAGATTGTGACCCTTTGCCATATTCTTGGAGTTCCTGGAGCCTGACAAAGGATCACGATCTCAGCGCTATCCCCCAAACCCGGCACTTCTGGCCATAGTCAATAGTCACTTGTTCACGGTGGATCGATTGCTTAGGGTCATGTATCTCCCTGATGTCTCTGTTCCACAGAGAAAAAAGCCACATTGGTTGTTTTTTTGGACCTGCTGTCCAGTTGTCCACCTGCGTCACACCTTGGAAACGGGATGTCTGCACACGTGGGTTACACGGGAGCTCCACAGCACAGGGCATCCTTGAAGATTTTTGACCTGAGAAACCCATTCTTCAGGCATGACAGGCGGGTGAGTTTCCTAGAGGGAGACACTCCAGGGGACTTGCCAGGATCACGCCAGGTCTGGCAGGTACAGCATAACTCAGGCTGGCAGAGGGTGAACAGCAGTTTGCACTGGGATCCCAAAGGGCTGATTTCACTTTCTCCACCATGTCTCCAACAAAGACAGCAGGCAAGGGGAATTCATCAGCTTCTGGGAGTCCTATTACACTCGAAAGTGACCCAGTCTCAACACCAGGTCGGGCTGGGATTTCCCCTCTGATCCTCTGACTTGTCTGAAACGTGAACCTGCCCCACCTTCCTGTGCTTTGTGACGCTTGGCTAAGGTGCACTGTGACCACTGTCTGTTAGCCTTCCCAGGGGTCATGATAATGTCATTTTCCTGTCGATGAAGATTTAACATTTTGTTTAAGCAAAGACCAAAGGGGTGGCAAAGAGACAAAAATTAAAAAGGCAACCTCACCATGGTGACAGGCGGGGAACAGGCCCATAGTACCCCCAAAGTAGCCTATGGTATCCGGGTGCTGAATGGGGACCCCCCTAAAGGAAATGCACATGGCTCAGACTGCTGCCCAGGGCACCTTGGCAGTAAAGCTGTGTGACAACTGGGGACTCCTGGAGCAGACTCACCTCCTGTGGTCACCTTTCTCAATCCCAGCCTGCACAGGCCCCGCCTGGCCATTTGGGGGCGGAATTTCATGCTTCATCCCCTGCTCCTATTCACCCAAGTTACTTCCATGGCTGACCACTTAGGAAAGATCAGGTCAGATTTGACTGTAGAGGTTTGAAACCCTTCAAATTTCCTCTCTCAGGAGGTTTAATTAGAACACCCCGCCTGCCCTTCTAGCTTATCTAATCTCAAAGCTCTGAACTCTGAGGACAACCCTTAAAATGTGTCGCCCCAGAAAACCATGAGGAGGCCAGCCACTCAACAGGCTGTTCTAATTCAAGGTCCCAAAGAACCTGTTACAAGTTTCCATATTTTATGTTTTGCCTGGAAAAAAAAAAGTAGACTCAAATATCAGTTATCATTTAGGGGTATGCATGAATTACATTTTATTTACATTTAAAAGTCTCTCCCTGTCCCTGTGCTCTGGTCTGTGGGTGGCACACACTGGACTTAGTGTAAGCTCCGTGGAGGGAGGTGGTGAAAAACCTCTTCCCACAGAAAGGCAAAACCCCACTCTCCAGGTCTTGCTTCTGAAAAGACAGTCATCTCCTGGGTGTTCTATGCTTTCTATCCCGACACCGTTTGCTGCTTCTTGGTGTGAGGGACAGTTCCCAGTTCCCTGGAGCCTCCTGGGATATGGCTTATGGCAGACAGGATGTGAGGAAAGCCTGCCAGCTCTGCCCTGGACGCCCAGGGCACTTAGTCCCAGAAGGTGAGGGCCAGGCTGTGTGGTGCCACAGCCAGTGATGCCACCATGAGCGAGGCAGGGTAGGGGAGGTGACAGCAAACTGTCCCCGAGTCCAGCAGTGAGTCAGGTGGAGGGACTGATTCCAGCATAGCGAGGAGGCTGCAGATCTAACGGTGACTACTGCTTTGGCATCAGGATGGGATGGTGTCAAAGCCACGCGGCTGGAGAGGGTGGGACCATCAATCACTTGTGGAAAAGTTGGCGCCCTATGGGAGGCTCAGCCAGGGGCTCAGCTTCTCTTGAGCAGTGTCCCCTGTGCAACCTCCAAGGCACTCACATAGCATATTTCTGTGTCCACTCTCGCGCCAGTTTGTTGTACCTGCAAGAAAAAAGCAGAGGGGCTGATGTGCTTATTCAAAATGGTCACTTCATTCAATGTCGAGGAGAGAACAGAACTGATGCAGGGATGCTGCTGCTGGCAAACATCGAGGACTAAGGAGTGAGTGGAACAAAGGGGCCTGGCATGAGGATATGTCATAGTGCCTGTGAACCCCTCCCGTGGGGAGTCCTGATGCTCCATAACTGCCTCTTGTGGAAGATGTGGTAATGCATCGACCATCTCTCTTCCTCTCTTCTGTCTCACAGCACCGACGAGGAGGGTCAGGAAAGGGGCTGCCCAGTCAGACTCCAGAATGCAGGCCTTGGAGCCTGGCCACCAGAGAGGGAGTGGTGCCTGCCATGCAGCAGGCCTGGTGCCCATGGAGGGCCATGTAAGCATGCGGCTTGTGTGTTTATTCTCATTAGTGTAATGAGCTCTCGTGCCGTGGGACTGTAAGACAGATTTGTAGCTAGAGGGCAAGGAAAAAACCACTTTGGGTATATCTAAAGTATCTCATAAGTGTTAAATAAATACAGTTCGTAATGTAGTCAATTAAAAATGTCTTTGCCATTCTGGAAAACTCAATGAGGGAAATAATGATCTCTATAAAGCTTTCAAGATTAATATAAGTTGGAGAAATCACATTCCATTCTAATCTCTTCAGACAAGAGAACTGATAAACTAAAAGACTCTCTGGAGATGTTCTTTAAAAGAGCCAGCAATTACCCCACCCTCCTACCACCACACCATGCACTGCTCACAGGCCAGGCTCCTGATGCCAGGGCCCCACCAGGAAGGCCCTTTCTCAGCAGACTGTCAATGCCAGAGGTTTTCCCATGGGGAGGTGAGGGCCCAGTCCTTTCCCCTATCTGCTTCTCCATCAAAGACACCCTCAGGCCACAGTTCATGTGATTGTGCTGGCCTAATGGGTGAAGTTCTACGAATCTGGGTCTGGTCATCAGTGTTTAAACAGAACTGAGGAGGCAAGGATGTACAATGGAGTAAAAACTGTCTCTTCAAGAAGTGGTTTTGGCAAAAATGGACAGATATGCAAAAAAATGAAACTAGATCACTTTCTTACGCAATATACAAAAATAAAATCAAAATAAAGACTTAAATGTTATACCAAAACTATAAAACTCTGAGAAGAAAACAAATGGGCCTACATCAGTGAAGGAAACCATCAACAAAACAAAAAGGCAACCTACTGAATGAGAGAAGATATTTGCTAATGCTACATTCAAATAAGGAACTCATACAACTTAACACCAACACCAAACAACCTAAATAAAAAATGGGCAGAGTTCTTGAATAGACATCTCTCCAAAGAGGACATACAGATGGCCAATAGACATGAATAGGTGCTCAATATCACTAATCACCAGGGAAATGCAAATTAAAACCACAATAAAATTTTGTCTCACACCTGTCAGAATGGCTACCAATAAAAATCAACAAAAACCAAGGATTGGTGAGGATGTGGAGAAAAGGGAACCCTCACGCATTGTTGGTGGGACTGCAGATTGGTGCAGCCACTATGGAGGAGCATGGAGGTTCCTCAAAGCTATAAACAGCTGCCATACGATCCAGCAATTCCACTGCTGGGTATTAGTATTTAAAATACCAATTCAAAAGGAGATATGCATCCCTATGTTCATGGCAGCATTAGTTATAATAGCAAGATATGGAAGCAACCTAAGTATCCATCAAGAGATGACTGGATAAAGAAGGTGTGGTACGTATATAAGGAAATATTACTCATCCATAAAAAATAATGAAATCTTGCCATTTGTGACAACATGGGTGGACCTGGAGGGTATTACACTAAGTGAATAAGTCAGAGAAAGACAAATACCATATAATCTCAGTTATATGTGGAATCTACAAAAAAATAAAATAAAATAGGGCTGGCCATGAGGGTGTGTCAGTAACACACTGCTGACTGCTGAGCCTCAATCAGGAGGCCTCCGCCTTACGCTGGCCTATCTGAGAAGACACTCCTATGCTATCAAGTTTAGAATGTAATCCAGTATTTTCTTGTCAGATTCTTCTGAGCCCATTCTTGGCTGACCATGACTCTGCTGACCTTAAGGGCAGGCTGGGCAACCAGAGTTTAGGGTTTTGTGGCAGCAGCTGATAAACGACCAAGGAGGGTGAACTGCTTTTATCTCCTCCCTTTTCTCAGAGCCAAAGGGGATGTTCATGAGAGTCACCCCTGCAGCCCCGCACGGCCTGGGCAGTGCAGGAAGATGTCTGAGGGAACCTGGTCCGCCAGGAGGCACCAGGTCAGGGTGGGTACCACTGGGGCTCGAAGGAGCCCGAAGAGGATGCGTACTTCTCTCGGTTGGCCTTGTAGGTGTGAGCTATCTCTGGCACCAGCGGGTCGTCGGGGTTGGGCTCGCAGAGCAGGGAGCAGATGGACAGGAGCACTGGGAAGAGACGAAGAGCTGGGTCAGCCTGGAGGCTGCCTGGTTGCCTGGATCTGGTGAGCCCCCCAACTCAAGCTCTCTTCTGTCTGAATTATTCTGCTTGACACCCCAAAAGTCATGCTCATCTATCAGCTGAACCGAGCTGGCCCAGACACAGCTGCTCTAGGGAGGCCGCAGCTGCCACCCCCTTTGGTGTGTGTTCCCAGGGGCCTGTTTCCTCATCAGGATGTGGAACTCGGAACACTCTGGAATGGGGGGGGGGGCAGCTTTCCCTCTGTATTCACCATGCAGCCTGTGAAAACCTGGCCCGCCAGCTGCCCGTGCCTCCCACCCCCTCCCCTCAGCTGCCTGTCAGGCTCTGCTGCCTGCTTTGCCTCACACTCCCCTCTGCTTATTTCTTGGGCTCTGGGACCCTGTTTCTCTCTGGCTGATTTTTTTTACCATCCCAGCCACTCCACTGACAAGACACTCACATCGTTTTCATTCAGGTTCAGAAGGAATAGCTGCATTTCTGAAGCCCCCTTTAGACTGGTCTCTAGAATCCCATATAGGCAACCGAATCCTGTGGACTTGGTTGCGGTGGGAACAGCGTCTCCCAATTCCTCCCCCAGGAGCTGTGGGAAGCTGCCTGCTGTCTCTGAGCCTCAGTCTCCAGCCAGGGATGCGGGGGTAGAAGGGCTGCTGTGAGAGCCACAAGCCCGGGCCAGGGCCTGTGAGGCTACCTTCAGACACTGTCAGTGATGGAGACCAGTGGGACTGCAGGACGTCCAGACAGATGCTGCCGTTGCTGTGGATGTTGGGGTGGTAAATTTTGGTCGTGAAAGCCACCTGCAGAGACAAGAGACCTCAAGTGAGATAGGCAACAGGGGCGCTCTAGACAGCGTCTCTGGAAAAGGGACCGAGGGAGGCAGAAGAGGCCGCTGCTGGCTCCACGGGCCTAGGTGAGCTGGGCCCCTACCCTGAACCCTGACAAGACTCGGGTGGGACAGCCGAGGGAAGTCCCCTGACCCACTTCCCCCAAAGCAGTGAGTGGGCTCTGAGGAGCGACAAGGGTGGCAGCCGCACTGGAAGTGTCCTAAGTAATGGGCTTAGGCACCGGTTCTTTTCATCCTAACCGGAAGATATGTTTTTATTGATTTTTAGAGAGGGAGGGGAGGGAGAGAGACAGACAGACATTGATGTGAGAAAGATCGAGTGGTTGCCTCCCGCACACGCCCTGACCAGGGCTGGGGATCAAGCCTGCAACCAAGGTATGTGCCCTTGACCAGAATCAAGCCTGGAACCCTTCAGTTCCATGGCACCAAGGTTCTAATTTTAAAATAATCAATCTACCAGTTGTGCAGTCAGAAAAATAATCTAAAATGTGGACCCACATACATTGCTATGACCGCCCTTGACCTGTGCCTGTCCTCTTGGCCCCACCGTGAGCAATCAAAATGCACTTCTTCTTCCCAGCCCCATGTGCCTGCTGTTGTCGCCTCCACCCCATTAGCCTCCACCCCATTGCACAACTAACTCCTTGGGCTCCTCTGGCCTCCTCCTGACCCTGAGGCCCCTGACCTGCTCAAAATGAGCCTGCTGCCACCCTCCCTGCCACTCTGTGCTTCTTGGCACTGGCCACCAGACAGGACTATTCCGTAAGAGGCAGGGCTCCTCTGGGTTGGGCTCTGCCCTAGGCCTTTGGCACCTGGTGAGTAATGGGCAGCCCTGCTGGGCCAGGGTGTGGAGCAGGACCCTCCCGCCTTCTTCCTCCGGTTGGTGGTGCTGTCCTCCCTCTGAGGCCCCATGGCTGGGATGGTGTGTGTGCAGGGAGGTGACTGCCAGGCCCACTGACACTCAGGTCCTGAGCCCATAGGGCAGTGGTTCTCAACCTTCCTAATGCCGTGACCCTTTAATACAGTTCCTCATGTTGTGGCGACCCCCAATAAAATTATTTTCGTTGCTACTTCATAACTGTAATTTTGCTACTGTTATGAATCATAATGTAAATATCTGATATGCAGGATGTATTTAGGCGACCCCTGTGAAAGGGTCGTTCGACCCCCAAAGGGGTTGCGACCCACAGGTTGAGAACCGCTGCCATAGGTTATGAGCAACATTCCTGGGCTCCCCCTCCACAAACCAGTAGCAATCCCCCTTCCGCCCGTCCTGTTTTTACAGCCCAAACATCCCAGGACAGTGTCCAATGTCCCTGGGACAGGGCTGAGGACTCCTGGCCGAGAGTGAGAGGGACTGCAAGGAAGGGCCAGATGCAGCTACAATCAGGCAGAGCACCGTCCCCGATGGCTCCAGGGTTTCAAGTTTGGGCTGTGACGGTGCAGCTTGCTGCACCACTGACTAGAAGGGCCCCTTCATCACACTCTGAGCCGTCCTCACCTTCGGGGGTTTGAATGGATAATCTGTGGGAAAGTGGATGTTCAGGAAGAAAATGCCTCCTTGGTAAGGACTGTCATTCTGGAGGATGAGACAGGCAGTTAGTGCGCACAGAAGCATGCGGCAAGGGAGGACGCGCAGGGGTGGCGCTCAGCAGCAACTACCTACCGGGCCGGTGATGGTGGCCTGCCAGCAGAACCCTGCAAGACAAACAGGAGGATGTCAGAGACCCCCCCCACCCCCCGAAATGTCTACTCCACCCAGGGGCCCCCAGACTCCCAGGAGATCTGGCTCACAGTTAGTGGTTATCACCAGGGAGACTCATCAGTGACCAAGACTGATAAATGGACTCCCACATGGCTGATTTGAGGGTCCAGTCTCTCGGATGTGGCCAGCCCCACCCTAAGTCACACTGTTGGTGGGTCAAAGCCTCAGGTAGGCAGAGACTGTCCAACAGGCAGAAAATTGCAGAGATCACCTCCCAAGGCTGCGGACAAAGGCAGATCTTCGACAGAACTAAATTCTTTACACCAACGGTTCCCTCTCCTCTTTGCACAGAATTAAGGCTTCAGCTATTTTCCATCTTCCTTTTTATAAATTGCTTCCGCTCCCTCCTTCCCTGGGTCGTTCTGAAGCCCTCTGCCAAGGGTCTCTCAGGAGCCATGCCCTTGGCCCTGGAACCTCTCTGGGGCCCCCCTCCATGGTGTCTGTCCCACATCGCCCTGGGCATTGCCCACACTCTGGGATTCAGTGACATCATGCCTGTGCTCTCTCTGCATCTCAGTCCCAGAGAAGCTCCAGAGCACTTGGCAAGGCTGGCCTGGGGGTGGGGGGGTGGGGGGGTGGGGGGCAATGACTCACCTCCAAGCTCCCAGGGCAGTGACTCATCTTTGTGGAACATCCGGATCACCAAGTGGGCTACTGAGACCACTGGAGGGATGTGTCACTCTCTAGACCAGTGGTTCTCAACCTGGGCTGCACATTAGAATCACCTGGGAATCTTTTTAAAATCCTGATTTCTGGGCCTCATCCTCCGGAAATTCTGTTTCTTTGTTATGGGGTGAGGCCACAACATGAGTAACACAGAAACAGAATTTCCGGAGGATGGGGCCCAGAAATCAGGATTTTAAAAAGATTCCCAGGTGATTCTGATGTGCAGCTGAGGTTGAGAACCACCACTCTAGGGAATTCTGTCTTATGGCTCCAGGGTGGTGGGAATTAACCCAAAGTTTCAGACGTGTTGGGTTCCTGCCATCTGTTCAATACCACCCCCCGCTCCCCCCCCCCGCCCCCCCAGCGACTCTCCCTTGAAAGCAGAACAGGAAATCATCAAGGCAAAGGAGGGACAGGTGCAGGGACTAAAGGGAGGTTTTCCAGACCCTAGCGGTGCCAAAGCAGTCACGGCCACCCAGGACCTTTTCAATACTTCAAGGAACCGGTACAAAGAGCACACGTGACCTGTAACAAGGCTGCCTGAGCCGACCAAAGTGTCACTTCTTTTGCTTTTGACTGGTTTTATGCCAACTCGTGCTAATTACTAGCTGTGGTTGGCAGGTGGATATACCTTTCCTAATACTGTAGAATGAAATTCCTTATTAAGTGTTTTTGATAAGTAACACGAGGGACTGGGAGCCCATGGGGAGAAGTAGAGAGTGAAAGTGGTTCCTTCTGGGACCTTTGAGGGCTGAGGGGGCTGCACAGGGCTTGGGGCCCGGTGAGGAGAGAAGGCCCCAAAATAGAGGAAGAAGAAGGAAACTGCAGGGACTGCTGGAAAGGGGCTGCTTGCCCACAGGGAGGCATGGAATAGCCCCAAAGCTTAGGTGTGTCCAAGGTTGTATACGCCTCGGCCGGAGGTGCTGAGCAGGGAGGGGGACTAGGACGCCCTCCAGCAACGATGCTGCCTCCGGCACGGGTCTGCCGTGAAGGTGAGCGTGCCACCAGGGAGCTGGGCTGAGTCAGGACCAGCTCCATCTTACCAGCCACCCTCGTGTGGCATTGTTGTGACAGGTAACATGGGAAACTATGCTACGGAGACCTGGATGCTTGGAGAGACGGCACGGGGCAGGTGCCAAGCAGGACCAGGAAACAGCGGCACCACAGCCGCCCTGTTCACCAGACTGTCACAGGCGCCTTCGCACATCCACTCTCAGTGCTGCAGCCCAGAGCACGTGCATGTGACCCCACCGCCTCTTTCCTGCCAGCTTGGTGAAGTTACGCTTTCTTTTTTATTGCAGTAACATGTGTAACACATTGGTGATAAGACAGTTACCAGGATGGATAGTGACGGTGGCTGCCTTGCGGTATGGATGTATTTGACACCACTGAACTGTGTACTTAAAGGTGGTTAAGATGGTAAACGTTATGTGCATTTTCACACAATAAAAAAAACACGTGTAAAATGTCATCTTAGCCACTATAAGTGAGTTCAGGGTATTAAGTGTGTCAGTGTTGCCCAGCCTCCACCATTGCCCATTCTGACACATCTTTCATGACTCCAAACAGATCTGTACCGTTTCTGCCTCTCTCCACTCCCATGAGCTCCCTCCACGTTTGGTCCCAGGCACTTGCCCACTCTAGGTATTTCCCCAACCGGGACCACACGTTAGCCTTTTGTGTAAGGCTTGTGTGACGGTGCATGCTCTCAGGGCTCATCCGTCTTACCACACAAGTCAAAACTCCTTTTCTCTCCATGGCTAACCACATGCTGCTGTGCGGACACACCACACTCTACTTACCCCTTCACCTGTCGCTGGGCACTTGGGCCTTCGGTGACTGAGTACCTTCGAGTTCTGTTGGGAGTCCCTGTTTTCAGTTCTTTGGTGTCTGTGCAGGACACCCCCTCTCTGACACCATCTCATGGTCATGATGAGTGAGAGTGGAGGTGAGGTGGGAGCAGAACATGTACTTGCAGGCCCATGAGCTGGGCAGCTGGGCCTCAGCCGGTCAGCTGTAGAGGAGCTGAGGGCTGGCTGCTGCTCCCCAGGGAGGACCAGAGTGGGGGAAAGCACAGACCCTCCTGCCCACCCCCACCCTTGGCAGAGGCCAGGTGCCCCACGTGCAGCAGCACCACCGCTTTCATGACCACTTCACACGTTTTCATTGGTCAGAGGCACTTTCCAGAGCCAATGTGCTTGCAGGTGCCCCGGTGGAGGCGTGGTGACATCAGGCACCATCCTCATCAGCCAGGCTATGAACTCAATGCGTCTAATGAAAAAGCAGTTCACGAGCAAATGAGGGAAAACAAGTTTTCTTAGGAAACAGCTGGGTTAATAAATTTCAGGGTCTTGATGGCAAGGTCCCTGTGACCTGGAGCCTGGAAGAGAATACTCACAGTCATCTCCCACAGGTCTTGCGGACCACTGGGCAGGAGGATCCCTCTGCAGGTCACTCAATTCCTAGAACACAAGGAGCGGCTCAGAGCTGTGTGCCGGAGGCTGCTCTGCACCCACACCCCTTGGCCAGAAGTGCATCCTCCCGGGGGAGCAATTGGCCTGGCAATGGAAACAAGAGACTGGAAGGTCTGCTTGTGGTTGTGAAGACACCTGTCAGTGTGTGTCAGAATTTCCATTTTGTAAGTTGGGAAACTGAAATGTGAAGAGGTTAAGCTGCCTACCCAAGATCACCGAGCTGAGAGGGCAGGGCAAGGAGTTAGTTCTGTGTGTGCGTACCTCACCCTCAAGCCTACCCTCGCTCACACGCAGGTGAAGACAGGGTTTTAGCTCTGAGCTCCAGGGTTAACGCATGGAAGCCTTCAGCCCAGAGGAAGGACAGGGCTCCTGCACTTCCATCTTGCTCCCCTCCCACCTGACCCACCATGAGTGTGGCAAGGCTCAGGGCTCTGGGTGAGAGTAAGGCCACGATGACTGATGCAGCCGCCTGTGTACCTGCAGAGAAACGGGAGTTGCATGACAGCTAGATTCACAATCCCCTTGTTTTCCTGGCACAGTATGAGCATCAAAGCCCAAGCTTTTGGACAGTGGCTCTAAAAGGGAGTTTGCATGTCCTTGCATTTGTCTTCATCTTCATCCTCCCAGGTTCCAGATCTGGGCCAACCTCAGAGTTTCCAGGGAGGCTCTAAAGCCCGGGAAGAAGGCACAGACAAAGGTCCAGCAGGTGGCAGGGGAACTCCCCGGGTCTGGAGCACATGCACAAAGCTCACACCTGGTTGGCAACACTCCTCCTACCTGAACAAGCCTGAAAATGAGCCCAGGCACCAAGCCCCGCCTGACCCCTGATGTCGGGGCATGCTGACCATTCTAGTTCCCCCCCACTCCCCACTCTGGCTCTCACGCCACCTGCGCCTCCTCCTCCTCCCCGCAAATACTGGCCACGCAGCAGTGTTTACACCACAGTGGCCAGCAAGCACTACACATCCGGCCACATTTCATCCCCGAGCATCGGTTGTAAACGCCTCGCAGCTTCCCACAGTGCCTGCATGAGCTGCCCTCGGTAAGCTCGCAGTAAGTGACAAAGCAGAAATGAACCTGGGCAACAACTAAGGCCACAGTACAGGACGGAAGGCACCTTGGAGATGCAGTGGGGCCACCGAAGCCTCCCAAACAGGTCCTCCTGCCCACGCCCACGCTCAGCAGCCCCAGCACCACCACCACCACGGCCACGGAGAGAGGGCGGCTGTCAGGACAACCGTGGAGAGACCAGGGAAGGGCCGAGCGCAGGCCGGGCTCCCGGTTCCCCCAGAACGCGGCCCTTCTCTCGGGGCGTGGGAAACGGTTACTGGGACCTAATGTTTCTTGAAAGACCGCGAGTCTTGTCTCTTTTTTTTTCTTTAATATGTTGATTTCAGGAAGGGAGAGGGAGAGAGATTGAAACATCAATGATGAGAGAGAATCACTGATTGGCTGCCTCCTGCAGGCCCCCAACTGGGGGCGGGCATGTGCCCTTGACTGGAATCGAACCCGGGACCCCAGTCCGCAGGCCGAGGCTCTATCCACTGAGCAAACCGGCCAGGGCAAGACCGCGCGTCTTGATGGAGGGAGTCCAACAGCACCGAGGAGCGCCAACTGCTCACTGGGATTCAAAGGAAGAACAATGTGGCTTCAGAAAGACAAGTCCGCACGCTCCCGCGTCCCTAACGGGCGCTGGCGGTGGCGCGGCCGCAGTGCGGGCCGGCCTCGTTCGTTCAGCCCCACGCGCCGTGCCCCCCCTTAAACTTTAAAATTGAGTTTATTGATGGAGAGAGAGGAGGGAAGGAAACGTGGACTTGTCGCCCGCTGGTTTGTGCGCTACTGGTTGGTACTGTACGTGCCCTGGGCGGGTCCAACCGCAATCCAGGCGTCCGGCCCGCTCGCACCAACGGCGCTACCGGCCCGGCCTGCGCGCGCCGTTCCGGCGGCGGTTCGTCTCCCTCCGGGCAGGTGTCGCCGCGCTCGGCGCCCCTCCGACCGCGTCCACTCGGGCCAACGACCCGCGGGCGAGGGGACGCTGGGGACTCGCAAGGAGCCCGCGGACCAAAGGGCTCCTTACCTTCTTGATCCGCTTCAGAGCCATCCTCGCCCCGCTGCTGGGGACCAGGCTGCTGCCGGTCCAGGGCGGCCAGAGGCTGCCGGCTGCCGGCTCCGCCGCCGCGCAGCGCCGCTAGGGGAACGGCCGCCTGCGCGTGCGCGCCGCGGGGCACTGTGGGCCGCGTCCGGAGCCGCGCGGGGAGCGAGTGCGCGGGGTCCGGAGGCCGCCGGGAGGGGGCGCTCGAGGTCAGCAGCGAGCGCGCAGCCCTGGCTCGCGGCCCCGTCCGGCTTCCGGGCGCCCTCCCGGCTGCCGCGTCGTGGCTCTCAGCCCGCCGTGGACGTGTCTGTCAGTCTCGCCCCCTTTCAGGTGCGGGTGGAGATACTCCCCGCCCTCCCCGCGGGACACACAGAGCACGGCCGCGGGGGCCGCGGGGCTGCGATGTGCGCTCCCGGGTCTGCGCGGCGGTTTTGACGCGGCCTCACACCGCGCACATCCTCTCCCTTTCCCGAGACCTGCAGGCACCCAGGATCGAGCGTTTGAAACTGGGCGAGGAACAATTCGTGTGCCACAAAGTAAGTTTAATGGGTTGCAATCAGCAGAAAAAAAAAAAAAAATAGAATACAAAGTATCAGTGCGTCTCACTTTGTAAGGATTGTGGACATTTTGTTGTGCGTGTATAGATATTTCCCCTCCAAACTGAGACACCTTTGAGACTGAGACGAGGTGCAGTATAATCAGGACACAGGTGTCATCCGAGCCTGTCTCTGGCCAAGCAGGACATGTGGACACTGCGTGTGCGCGCTCGAATATAAAATGCATCACAGACATTTCCATGGTCCCCAGACGAGTCATTGGCGTCCATTCTCGTTCCTCTAATCTCTACACACAACTTCATGAACTGCCTCAAATGTAAGTCTTATCTTGACGCGTCCTTGCCTGACACTCTGCAGGGATGCCCTGTGCTCTACAAGGGTCACATGCACCCACTGTCAACAGGCCCTTCAGAACCAGTATCGCCCCGCCTGGCTTACTGTCAGCGGGTCCCATCCCTGCCCCTGACGCATTCCTCTACTCCCGGCTGCCCCGGCTGCAAAGCCCTCTCTCCTTCCCCCAAAGCAGAGCCATCACTCACCTTGCAAAGCCTGGTTAAGCGCCTCCCGCCCCCAGTGGCTCCTTGTTTCTGTGCAATACAAGTTCCTGTTGGTCAGCGGGTCATCCACGGCCACTTTGTTTACCTGGCTGTGCCCTCATAGAACAAATGACCCTACATTTTTATAAATGTTTATTTGTTCCTTTAAGACTATAAATCTGAATTACGATGATGGTTATCTCTGGGTGGTGACTTTACTTAAGATGTTAACTTCCAAAATTTCTTCAGAGAATTTGCATCACTTGTTTAATCAGAAAAAGGAAAAGAAACAAAGTTGTGTTGAATAGCAAATGAAAATTTCATTTCTATTTCCTGTTGGTAGTTTAATGCATAGCTTTCTAAACTTTTTACATAAAGTTTTATGCATAGTTTTTTTAAATTTGAAAGTAGTTTTAAATGTACAGAAGTGTTGAAAATATTTTTAAAAATTAAAAAATGGATAAATTGGATTTTATAAAAATTTAAAAGTTTTGTGCTTTAAACAGCACCATCAAGGAAGCAAAACGACACCCCACAGAATGGGAGCAAGTATTTGCAATTTGATAACGGTTCAGTATCCAGAATACATAAAGTAACTCTTATAACGTAATAAAAATAAGACAAACTATTAAAAAGTGGGCAAATTATTTGAATAGGAATTTCTTTAAAGAAGATATAGAAAATGGCCATTAGGCACATAACACAAAAAAGGTCAACATCCTTAGTTATTAGGGAAATGAAAATCAAAGCCACAGTGAACTACCATTTCATACCCTAATATGCCTCTAACCAAAAGGACAATGACAATGACAATTTGGGGAGGATGTGGAGACACTGGAACCCTCACGCTCTCACTGGTGGGAATGTAAATGGTGCGGCCACTTTGGAAAACAGTGTGGAAGCTCCTTAAAAAGCTGAACACAATGATATGACCTAGCAATTCCATTCTTAGGTTATACCCAAGAGAAATTAAAACGTGTCCATACAGAAACTTAAACACATCTACTTATATAAAAACCCTGGGTGTAACATCACAGCCAGAAGCACGACCAACTGGAAGGAAGTCAGTTCTGCAGGGGTCTTCTTGGAAACGGCTGTGCCCTACCCACCCCCCCCCCCCACGAGGTTTCAGGCAGGAACCCGCCCTCCCAGCCAAGCGTGGAAGTACTGAGTCTGGCCTTCAAACCAGATTCTGACATTAGGGCGGAGGCAGCTCCATTCCTCACAGAATCTGCTGTTGGATAGCTTGCTGTCAGTGGCCTGCCAGCCAGGAACCCCATTCACCTGCACCCCGGACCCTGACAGGAGGGAGGAGGGAGCCCCATTCCTCACTGAGTCCACAGGTGGCCAGCTTGCTGTCAGGGGCCTGCCAGCTAGGAATCCTATTCACCTGCATATCTGTATAAAGTTTTAATACATTATATTAGAGGTCGTGGTGGTACTGTTTTACCCACAGCGTCTACAGGAATTGCTGCAAATTTACTTCTCGGTGGAAGCACCTTTCATTCCTAATATAAATTACTGATTTCATTAAATGAAACTTCAATTTCTAGACTCAATATAAAGAGTGAAGTTGCTAAAACTATTAAAAAGGCCCAACTTCTCATTATTGATGAATGCACCATGGCATCCAGTCATGCTATAAATGCCATAGACAGATTACTAAGAGAAATTATGAGTCTGAATGTTGTATTTGGTGGGGAAAGTTCTCCTTCTTGGAGGGGATTTTCGACAATGTCTCAGTATTGTACCACATGCTATGTGATCGGCCATAGTACAAACGAGTTTAAAGTACTGCAATGTTTGGGGATGTTTCAGAATGTTGTTTCTTACAACAAATATGAGATCAGAGGATTCTGCTTATAGTGGATGGTTAGTAAAACTTGGAGATGCAAACTTGATTGCAGTTTTCATTTAGGAATGATATTATTGAAATCCCCTGTGAAATGATTTGTAATGGATCTATATTGAAGCTATCTTTGGAAATACTATATCTATAGATAATATTAAAAATATATCTGAACGTGCAATTCTTTGTCCAAAAAATGAGCATGTTCAAAAATTAAATGAAGAAATCTTGGATATACTCGATGGAGATTTTCACACATATTTGAGTGATGATTCCATTGATTCCACAGATGATGCTGAAAAGGAAAATTTTCCCATCGAATTTCTTAATAGTATTACTCCTTCGGGAATGCCATGTCATAAATTAAAATGGAAAGTGGGTGCAATCATCATGCTATTGAGAAATCTCAATAGTGAATGGGGTCTTTGTAATGGTACCAGATTTATTATCAAAAGATTACGACCTAACATTATCGAAGCTGAAGTATTAACAGGGTCTGCAGAGGGAGAGGTTGTTCTGATTCCAAGAATTAATTTGTCCCCATCTGACACTGGCCTCGCATTTAAATTGATTGGACGACGGTTTCCGGTGATGCCAGCATCTGTGATGACTATTAATAAATCACAAGGACAAACTCTAGACAGAGTAGGCATATTCCTACCTGAACCCGTTTTCGCACTTGGTCAGTTATATGTTGCTTTGTCTTGAGTTTGAAGAGCGTGTGATGTTAAAGTTCTAAATACTTCATCACAAGGGAAATTAGTTAAGCACTCTGAAAGTGTTCTCACTCTTAATATGGTGTACAGGGAGATATTAGAATAAGTTTAATCACTTTATCAGTCATTGTTTGCATCACTGTTGTTTTTATATCATGTTTTTTGTTTTTATATCATGTTTTTGTTGTTTTAATATCATATTTTTGTTGTTTTTATATCATGCCTCTTGTTGTTATATCCTTTTGTTGCTGTTTATTTATTAATAAATTTATATATTATTTTCATATACATTTTACTAATTTCCTTTCATCTCTCACACTTCTATTATAGAGAAAGGGCAACTAGCAATATTAAAATATCTCTGGTAATTAATTCCCTTTTAATGTGCACGAATTTCATGCACCGGGCTACTAGTATGTTTATAAACTGCATTATGCATTCTAACCAAAAAGGTCAAAGCAACCCAAATGTTGACTTGATAAACAAAAATGTGATATATCCACCTAATGGAAATTTTTGGCCATAAGAAAGAATGAAGTACCAATATACGCTACAACATGGATATATTAGATTCTTGGGCCTTTCATAACAAAGTACCACAAACTGGTGGCTTAACAGAAATTTATTGTCTCACACAGTTTGGGGGCTAGAAGTCTGAAACCAAGTTATTGACCAGGCTGGTTCCTTCTTGGGGCTGCGAGGTAGAACATTTCCAGGCCTCTCTTAGCTCCTGGCGGCTCCAGGCAGTCCTTGGCTTGTGGATGGTGTCCTGCCTGTGTCTTGATGTCATCTTCATGTCTATCTCTGTGTCCAAATGCCCCCCTTTTCATAAGGACTCAATCATATTGGGTTAGGGCACCCCCCTGACCTGATCTATTTGCAAGACCCAATTTTCAAATAAATTCACATTCACAGGTACCGGGGGTTAAGATTCCAAAATATTCTTTTGGAGACACAATTCAATATATAACAGTGGATGAACCTTGAAAACATTACCCTAAATGAAAGAAACCAGTCACAAAAGGCCAAATATTGTATGATTCCATTTATATGAAATATTCAGATGCCCTAACTGGTTTGGCTCAGTGGATAGAGCGTCGGCCTGCGGACTGAAGGGTCCCAGGTTCAATTCCAGTCAAGGGCATGTACCTTGGTTGCGGGCACATCCCCAGTAGGGGTGTGCAGGAGGCAGCAGATCGATGTTTCTCTGTCATCGATGTTTCTAACTCTCTATCCCTCTCCCTTCCTCTCTGTAAAAAATCAATAAAATATATTTTAAAAAAAATTCAGAATAGGCAACTGTATAAAGACTGTCATTTAGTGGTCACATAGGGCTGAGGGAGTGAGGGAATAGGCAATGGTTGCTAATTGGAAAATTATATGTCTGTAAAGCTGTTTAAAATGTAACAACAATAACACACAGAATTCTTGTATGCCCTTTGCCCAGTTTCCCCTAACATTAGCATCCTATCTGATAATAGACAAAGATTGAAATTGACCGTACCTTCCCTATGCCTCCCATTGACTAATCAGAGAGGTATGCCAACAAAGATGGTGGTTAATTTGCATACGTAGGCGAGAAGCGGTGGAGTGAAGACTGAAGGCGGCTCCGGCCGGAGTGGCACTGGTTTTCCTCTGGCACCTGGGACCCAGGCCTATTGCACAAATCTTTTCGTGCAACAGGCCTCTAGTATTATATAACTGTAATACAATTATTCAGAAAATTAACATCTGTATAATACTATGAACTATTTACAGACTTTATTCAAATTTCACTAATTGTCTAACTAAGGTCCTTTTTCTGGTTCAGGAGCCGACTTAGGATCCCGTGATGCATTTGCTCATCCTGTCCCTCTAGCTTCCTGTCATCTTAGGCAGTTCTTTAGTTATTTCTTTGTCTTTGATGACCTTGACACTTTTGAAGAGTATTGGAGAGTTATTTTGTGGACTGTCCCTCAGTTTGGGTTTTCTGATTGATGAGTCAGTCTCTGCATTTACAGAAGATTGTCTCAGAGGTGACCTTGTGCCCTTCGCAGGGCCTTGCATCAGAGGGTAGTGACATTGGTAAGTATGACTGGTTAAGTCTGAGCACTTCTGGACATTTTTCAGATTTCTCCATTGTGAATATTTTTAAAAAATTCATTTAAAAAAAGTAACTTGTGTGGAGAAACTTAAAAATTTGCTAAGAAGGTAGATCTACTCTATGCAAAGCTGCAAATCTCTGGCGACTCCAGAGTCCCAGCACAGTCCTACCAGCAGGTTCTCCAGCAGCACCGTCCAGGCAAGAAGTCAGACTCCTGGTGCTTCCTGCTCTGCCATCCTCCCCAGTCCCTAGCTCTCTCTCTATTGCTCAGCTCCACTGAAGAGTGCTTCATGGAAGATTTTTGCGTCTGTGTTTGTCGGCGAGATTAATCTGCAGTTTCCCATGTTCGGATGGTCTTTGAGTGATTTTGGTTTTCAGGGTAATGCTGTCCTCATAAAATGGGTTGGGAAGCCTCTCCTTCTCTGCTTTTTTGGGAAGATAATGTTAGAGTTGGTTCTTCTTTAAATGTTTGGTAGAAGTACCAGTGAAGCCATCTGACCCACAGTTTTCTGTTTTGGCAGGTTTTGAAAAATTTTTCATTACTAAGTCAGTGCCTTTACTTATTATAAATCTATTCAGATTTTCCATTTCTTCATTATTTCAGTTAGGGTTGATTGTGTTTCCAGAAAACCTTTTTTTTTTTCCCAGTTAGTTATCGAAGTTGTTGCATAACTGTTCATATTACTCTATTACAGTTATTTTTATTTCTGTAAATCATTAGTAATGTCCCCACTTTCATTTCTGGTTTTAGTAATTTGAGTCCTCCTTTTTTCTTTTTCTTTTTAATTTTATTTATTGATTGTAGCGATAGGAAGAGAAAGATAGAGAGGCAGAGATAGAGATAGATAGGAGAGAGAGAGAGAGAGAGAGAGAGAGAGAGAGAGAGTGAGAAATTGTTCTTCCACTTATTTATGCACTCATTGGTTGCTTCTTGTACATGTGCCCTGACTGGAGATCAAACCTGCAACCTTGGCTTATAGGGACGATGCTGTAACCAACTGAGCTACCCGGCCAGGGCTCTCTCCTTTTTTCTTAGGGAGTTTAGCAAGATTTGTTAATTTTGTTGATATTTTAAAAGAACAAACTATTATTTTAATTGATTCTTCTCTATTGTTTTTCTAGTCTCTATTCTTTCTTTGCTCTAATGTTTAATATTTCCTTCCTTTTATTTACTTTGGATTTGGTTTGCTCTTAATTTTTTTGTTCCTTCTGGCATAGAGTTAAGTTGTTGATTTGACATCTTTTTTTTTTTAATCCTCACACAAGGATATTTAGTTTTTTATTTGAGAGAGAGAGAGAGGAATGGAGAGAGGGGGGGGGGGGAGTCAGTGTGAGAGAGAAACATTGATCGGCAACATACCCTGACCAAGGATCAAACCTGCAACCCAGGTATGTGCCCTGACCAGGAATCAAATCCACAACCTTTTGTTGTATGTATGAAGCTCCAACTGAGCCATTCAGTCAGGGCTGTTTGTCTTTTTGTTTTTTATGTCCCACATATGAGTGAAATAACATGGTTCTCATCCTTTCTGTCTAACTTCTTTCACTTAGCTTGATGCTCAAGATTTGTCATGTTATCACAAATGGCAGTATTCCATCTTTTTTATGGCTAAGTGGTGTATTCCCTTGTACCGTATCTTCATCCAGGCACTTAGGTACTGACCATTGTGAATAATGCTGCAGTGAATGTAGGGGTGCATGTATCTTTAGAAACGGTTTCAATTTTGGGGGGGTAGATCTCCAGAAGAGGAATTGCTGGGTCGCTCTCTTCTTCATATCAGTATAGCTTTCTTTTGGTTAATCTGCATGGGATATCTTTTTCCATTCTTTTACTTTGTACCTTTTTCTATCATTAGATCTAAAGTGAGTTTTTTGTTTTTTGGTTTTTTTTAAAAATATATATTTTATTGATTTTTTACAGAGAGGAAGGGAGAGAGATAGAGAGTTAGAAACATCGATGAGAGAGAAACATCGATCAGCCGCCTCCTGCACATCTCCTACTGGGGATATGCCCGCAACCCAGGTACATGCCCTTGACCGGAATCGAACCTGGGACCTTTCAGTCTGCAGGCTGACGCTCTATCCACTGAGCCAAACCGGTTTCGGTTAAAGTGAGTTTCTTTAGAGCAGGGGTCCTCAAACTACGGCCCGCGGGCCACATGCAAATACAAATATTGCATTTGTTCCCGTTTTGTTTTTGTACTTCAAAATAAGATATGTGCAGTGTGCATAGGCAGTTGTTCATAGTTTTTTTTTTAAACTATAGTCCGGCCCTCCAACGGTCTGAGGGACAGTGAACTGGCCCCCCGTTTAAAAAGTTTGAGGACCCCTGCTTTAGAGTGTAGACTGTATATATTCAAATAGTTTTTATTTATTTTTTAATATTTTTTTAATTGATTTCAGAGAGGAAGAGAGAGGGAGAGATAGAAACAGCAATGATGAGAGAATCATTGAGTGGCTGTCTGCTGCACGCCCCCCTACTGGGAATTGAACCTACAATTTGGGCACGTGCCGGTGACTGGAATCGAACCCAGGACTCTTCAGTCCACAGGCCAACACTGTATCCATTGAGCCAAATCAGCTAGGGCTCGAATCATTTTTAAAAAAATCCATTCTGCCAATCTGCGTTTTGATTAGATAGTTTAATCCATTTACATTGAAATAATTACTGATGAGAAGGAATTACTGACATTTTGCTGTTTTTTAAAAATATTCTTCCAGCCCTGCTGATGTGACTCAGTGGTTGAATGTTGACCTATGAACCAGGAGGTTATGGTTTGATTCCTGATCAGGGTACATGCCGGGTTTTGGGCTGGATCCCTCTTGTAGGGGCGTGTAGGAGGCAGCCGATCAATGATTCTCTCTCATCATTGATGTTTCTCTCCCTTTCCCTTACTCTCTGAAATCAATTAAGGAAAAAAAAGTTCTTCCACCTACAACCAGAACCATAGTCCCTCTCTCCCCGCTAACCTCGCCTTTCCTACTGGGAACCAAAGAAGCTGGACTTAATGGGAACTCCTCCACCACCACCCTTTCAGAGCCGAGGGTCTGCTGCCCAGGAAGGCCCTGTGCTGACCCCTCACCACAACATCAATGGTCAGTCCTTCCATTCCTGTTCCCCACCCCATTTTTCAGCCCCCGTATCCCCTTGAACTAGAGATAGCAGAGCAGACAGGCCTCTGGACCAGGGCCACTAGGACCCTGGGGAAGGACGGGCAATAGCAAGTCAAAGGCCACCAAACCTCCCTGTCCTTGTGAAGGTGGCTTTTCCTTGCCTGAGTGTTTGCTTGGTTCCGCTCTGTTCAAAGTCCCTACAAAAGGAGTGCGATAGTTTCTGGTCGTGTTCTCCATGTTTCTGTGGAGAGAGAGAGCTTGGAACTTGCTCGTCTGCCATTTGGGGAGACTGGTTTTTAGCCTATGAAATGGGCCACGATCAGCAAACATGTTGCATTGACAGAGTTTTGGGAAACTGGCCCTGTCATCCCTGTTGGTGGCTTTGCTGGGGCGCAGCATGCATGTGTGTATCTGGTATGGATGTGTGTGTGGTATCTACACGTGGGTGGACGTGTACTGGTACTTAGGTTTGTGTGCGTACAGAGACATGGTATCTGAAAAGACTTCAAATCCTGATGTCCCCTGACCTGTACACTCAGCCCCTGGAAGCTTGGCTTGAGGAGATGACCCGGCGACCAGCGTGGGAAGCTGGGCTGCACCGACAGGCTATTTGGCAGGAACACCAGCAGCAGATGTGCCACCAGGGCTGGTGCGCACAGGACGGCCACCGGCGGTGAAACGCCTCCCGCCCATTAAAACACGTCCAGAAACAATACTTAATTTCAGTGAACTTATACTAATTATTAAAGATCTATCTTAAAGCCAGCAACGGTCATTGAAGAAATTACCCGACCTCCCTCACTCCAGCGGTTGCCCCTCCCCAGAGCCTTCCTAATCCGGTCCCCAGGATTCGTATCCACCCCCCCCCGCCCCCCAACACCCCCCTCGGGCCCCGGCCCCCTCCGCCCCCCTCGGGCCCACGCGCGCCTTCCGCGCCCCCGCCCTCCCCAGCTCCGCCGCCCGGAGCGCCCCGCGGGCAGCCGGTGGCCGCGCGAGGCCCCTCCCCGCGCCGCGCGGAGGAAGCGGAGGCGGCGGCGGCGCGGAGACCTCGCCGCGCTCATGGCGTCACCGGGGTGAGTGCCGCGCTCGGGCCGGGCCGGCGGGGCCGCGCCGGGCGGGGGTGGGCGCGGCGCGGGGCGGCCTCCCTCCCCCCGGCCTCCTGCGCGGGCTCCGCGGACCCCGGCGACCTTGGGCCGACGCGGCGGCCGGGCCGGGCGAGGGGGAGGGGAGCGCCCGGGGCTGTCGCTTCGGTTGGTTCGCCCGCCGGCGGCGGGGAAGCGGCCCGGACGCCCCGAGGGGCAGCGCAAGGGCGGGGACCCCGCGCGCCGGCCCCGCCTGGCCCCGGGGAGTGCGGGCTGCGGGGTGCGCGGCGGGCCTGTGGGGCGGCGGCCCCGGGCCTGACCTTCCCTGCCTTCTGCCGGCTCCGTATTCAGTGTTCTTTTCCGAGGAAACGATGGTGACGGACAGAGTTTGCCATTTTTAAGAAATGCTACTTGCAAAATGAAACCTGCATGCGTAGGGCTACTGTTTGTTTTGGGAATGTGGTCGGTGAGCCGGGCATGCCCGTCCGGCTCCCCGGCTCCGGCGGAGGAAGACTCGTCTCAAGGTCATGGCTGGAGCTGGTGGAGTCGTCATTTGACTGTTGTCCACCCTCCCGCGGGCGCAGACCTGGTGCGTGTGATACGGATCAAGTTGTGCATCTTCCACTTCTCGGGCCTGTGTGGGTGCGGGCCTGCCCTGCGGGTGGAGGTGGTGGGCCAGGCCCGGGGCGGGGGACGAGCGGTGCGGGGAGCGGCCCCCCCACCCCCAACAGTGACAGGCTCTGACCAGCTGTCACGGCACTTCCCGCCTTACCGGCTGCCTCTCGGCTTGGGGAGCAGTGGTCAGTACTTTGAGCTCATAAATGGATAAACAAGGGCCCATCCCTCGAAGGCCGTGCTGATTCACCAGGGGGTCAAGGTCCCCAGCGGCAGGCCGGCCCTCAGGGCGGGGCAGCCTGCAGGTGGCCGAGCCTGGGTGGGGAAGCCATGAGGCCTGTTAGAAAGGGATGGTGCCTCTGGCATCCAGGCCCTCTGCCTGACAGGCATGGTCAGAAGGCGACTCAGTGCCAGGCTGGGTGCCCTTCTCTGAGGCAGGGGCCCTGCACCGTGTCCCTGGAGAAGGTGGCCTTAGTGCAAACTTGATGTTTGCAGTTCCAGCTACTTGTGAATGACCCCACAAGTCTGCAGTTGGTGCACATCTGTAAGTCCCCACTGCAAAGCTAGAGTCACACAACCTTTAGTGCACACTGTGCTGCTTCATAAAGAGAACTGTGCCTGTGTGCTGTGTGCAGACCGGGGCAGTCCACACATCCAGAGGTGTCTGTTCTGCAGGCTTCGCTGACAGAGTTCAGCCCGGGCGGCCTGGCTTCCTTAGATCCTCTGGCCTGTCTCAGCCTGCTGACCAGCGGGCGCTTCGTCTGCTGAGCTCGGTGCCATGGGAACGGTGCAGGGTTCAGGGCACGGATGGGGAGGGCACTGTGATGTCTGCTGGGTTGTTGGTGGAGGAGCTGTCAAGCCCCTTCTCGGTGCTTTACACGTATTAAATTACCGAATCTTCACCACAACCTTATCAATAAATCCTGTTTTTATCTCCATTATACAAGTTAGGAAACCGAGGCCTAGCTAAGCAGTTTAAGTTTAAAAATTGGTGTAGAACAATCACATTAAGGAAGGTTGGTTTGTATTTGGTTAATGAAGCACAAACAAAAATGTCGGAGTCTGTATTTTGGTCTGACCACAGAGTGCTCTGCACGGAGCTGAAGTGAGGATGTATTCTCGCTCTTTGTTGGTGTACGAAGCTGTGTGAGAAAAGCGCTTGTCCCTTCGGTTACGGTTTTACAAAAGTTGGCTGAGAAGGAAAGAACTTAGACGTGGCCATTTCCTTTGAAGAAGGGTTCCAGCCTCGGGTGTGCTTTCCGAGCTCCACCGTGCCGTCCTGAGGATGGCCTTTGCTGTTGTAGTTCAGATGTGGTGGTTCTGTAGATTCTCTACATTGCAGCCTTTTTTGGTTTGTTTTTCCTCCATTGATTTTTAGAGAGAGTGGGGGAGGAGGGGAGAGAAGGAGAGAGAAACATCATGTGAGACACAGAGATTGGTTGCCTCCCACACACACCCGACCGGCCACAGTCGGACACCTGCAACCTAGGTACGTGCCCTGGAACCCAGAGCCTTCGCAGGGGGGCCTGATAACTCTGGCCCAGACCAGCGACACGGCTGCATGGTAGCTTTTCATAAAATTGTTAGTTGCCTTATTTTACTTTTAAAAATATGTTTTTAATGATTTTTTTTAATAGAGACAGGAAGGGCCGAAGCCGGTTTGGCTCAGTGGATGGAGCGTCGGCCTGTGGACTGGAGGGTCCCGGGTTCGATTCCGGTCAAGGGCATGTACCTGGGTTGCGGGCACATCCCCAGTAGGAGATGTGCAGGAGGCAGCTGGTCGATGTTTCTCTCTCATCGATGTTTCTAGCTCTCTATCTCTCTCCCTTCCTCTCTGTGGAAAATCAATAAAATATATTAAAAAAAAAAAAGAGACAGGAAGGGAGAGTGATAGAAAGAAACATTGATGAGAGAGAAACATCATCGATTGGCTGCCTCCTGCACGCCCCCCACAGGGGTTGGAGCCCGCAACCCGGGCATGTGCCCTGACCAGGAATGGAACCGGCAGCCTTTTGGTTCCTGGGTTGATGCTCAACTGCTGAGCTACACTGGCCGGCTAGTTGCCTTATTTTTAAAAGTAAGTAATACATGTGCCTGGAACACATTTCAAAATGTATGGAAGGGAATTAGATGAAAATTCAGGGCCCCCTGCACCTGTTCCTTGCTGAGACTTGGTCTAAGCCAGAAAGGCATTATGGCGGTGTTGTTGCCGCTTTCTCATGGCTTTATAGATGTCTGTACTTGGAGAAAGCGGGCTCTTTGTCATTTTTGTCACAAATACTTTCGTCCATCTGTCATTTGCCTTTTGAGTTTACCATACTCTGAGGTTTTAAGTCTTTAATCTTTTCTTTCAGTGTATTTTTTGTTTCATTTTCTAGTTTGACTCTTAGACTCATTTGGTATTGACTCTGGTGAAAGCAGCTTTAGGGGTTCCCTGTATTTTTCCAGGCAGTTGTGAGTAACAGTAGGCGCTGCGCTAGGGCCAGGCCCTCCATTTGCCAGACTCGCCGCAGACCAGCTCTGCGGCCTCCAGTGCCTGGTCTCGCGTCACTCGCTGCAGGTTTTGTCCTCCTCTCTCACTGTTCGTTCTCAGAATTTTCCTGTTAGTATTGGACAGCTCTTTCCCCACAGGACTGGCACATCTGTTTTTGAACCTAAATTCACTGATAGGCTTTTTGAGGGAGAATTGACTGTATTATTTTATTGTTGGTGTTAATCTTCACCCGAGGGTATTTTCCCATTGATTTTTTAAAAAATATATTTTTATTGATTTCAGAGAGGAAGGGAGAGGGAGAGAGAGATAGAAACAGCAATGATGAGAATCATTGATTGGCTGCCTCTTGCATGCCCCCTACCAGGGATTGAGCCCACAATCCCCAGGCATGTGCCCCTGACTGGAATTGAACCTGGGACCCTTTAGTCTGCAGGCTGAGGCTCTATCCACTGAGCAAAACCAGCTAAGGCAGCGGTTCTCAACCTGTGGGTCGCGACCATCGGAAAACACATATAGCATATCAGATATTTACATTACGATTCATAACAGCAGCAAAATTACAGTTATGAAGTAGCAACGAAAATAATTTTAGGGTTGGGGGTCACCACAACATGAGGAACCGTATTAAAGTTTCATGGCATTAGGAAGGTTGAGAACCACTGAGCTAGGGCTTTCCATTAATTTTTAGAGAGAATGGGAGAGAGAGGGAAAGACAGAGAGAAACATTGATGTGAGAGAAGCACATCGATTGGTTGCCTCCTGCTCAAGTCCCGACCAGGGCCCTGGCCCGGGAAGGAGCCTGCAACCAAGGTACGTGCCTTTGACCAGAATTGAACCTGGGACCCTCTGGTTCACAGGCAGACGCTCTATCCACTGAGCCAACCCGGCTAGAGCTGGGGGAGAATTTACTTTAAGCTTTCCTTTCCCCAAACAGCTGGGCTTTTCATTTGTTCAAGTCTTATGTTCTTTCATATTTAGAGTCTTTTCATATACATGTTGCACATTTATAAGGTAGATTCCTCAGTTTCCCCTGGTTGATACTATAAGTGGGAGTTTCCCCTCCATAGAGGGAAGGCAGCTGGGTGTCCCCAGCCCCTGTTCTCTTTGTATGCAGTCACACTGCAGTTGCCCTCGGGTTTCCCACGTCTCTCAGCACCGGGGCTATTTTCTGTTGTCATGGGCACATCAGCAAGTTCATCCTGCCTTCCTTGTGGGTCGTGTCTCTCCAGGGAAGGAGCGGCAGTGGTCTGGCCTGTGCATGATGGAGGGCTAACTTCCCCGGCCAGCAAGCCCCTTCCAGCCCCGTGTCTGTGCAGCATCCGCTGGGGGTGGGGGGGGGGGGCCCTGTGTCCCGGGCTGGCACCTAGCACCAACCTGCTCGTGACCCCCTCCACCCTTTTCACCAAACCCTTCCACCTGAGCTAGGCAACCCTGTTGAGCCTGAACATGAGAGGTTTCCTGGGGTCTCTCTCCCACGCTCTGGCTAGTCTGTTGACATCCTCACAGAGACTTGGAACCCGACCCTGCAGTGTCACCTCCGGTGCTGCCACCCAGGTCTGATCTTCATCTCGTCTTTGTCAATGTAAGACAGGCGTGTTGCTGGTACTGTGTGTCCTCAGAATCAAAGCCAGTTCTTAGGGCCTAGAAGCTCCATCCCATCTGACCTCACCTGCCGCCTCCCCGCTGCTCACTCTGTACCGGCCTCACTGGGGCCCTGGGTGCCACCGGGCGTCTCCCTCTGCCTCTGCCCGGTCCACTACCCCCGGGAGAGCTGCATGGTGATGTCCTCACCTCCTGCCAAGCCTGTCGGACACAGGCCACTTGGGAGGCAAGCCCTGAGTGCCCTGTAGCTACAGCAGCATGCCCACCCGTTCACCACCCTGAACAAATCTTCCCGGGTGTCCTCTACTCAGCACCCGTCATTGTTCATTGTCAGTCTCCCCCACTTCGTTGAGTGGAACCTAAGAGCAGGGATGTTTGTGCCCATCACTGATGCATCCCAGACTTTTATAAAAGTTCCTAGCCCTAGCCGGTTTGGATCGGTGGATAGAGTGTCGGCCTGCAGACTGAAAGGTCCTGGGTTCAATTCCGGTCAAGAGCACATGCAGGCTCTATCCCCAGTAGGGGGCGTGCAAGAGGCAGCCCATCAATGACTCATCATCATTGATCTCTCTCTCTCTCTCTCTCTCTCTCTCTCTCTCTCTCTCTGAAATCAATGAAAATATATTTAAAAAAAATTCTAGCAGCAGATGACTATGGGGATAAGTCCAAGAGAACATTGACTGCCTCCTGAAAACCCGCATCATGTCCGTCAGGCTCTCTGGATACTGACACTAACCTTATGAGGTGTGCAGGGCCGTGACCACATGTGTATTCTGTAGAGCAGCGGTCGCCAACCGGTGGTCCACGGGCCACTGGTGGTCCATGAGATCCGAAAGGTTGGCGACCGCTGCTGTAGTGTGTGTAATGAGTGTTGATAA